CCTAACCGCCGACTGGGCAATGTCCGCGGCGTATGCGTGCCGCGGTCGCCGCCCGGGCGCCGGGCCCGCCTGTCCGCCCCCGGGACCAGCCGCCTGTCTTCCGCGGCCCGCGAGGAGCTTCGGCGCCGCCTGCTGGGCCTCATCGAGGGCCACCGAGTGGTCATCTTCAGCAAGAGCTACTGTCCGCACAGTGCGCGGGTAGGCGGGCAGGGGCTTCCGGACTCACTGGTCCGTCGCCTCCGCGGCCCCCCACCCCTGCCCGGGTCCGCTGGTCCGTGTCCGCCCGCTCCCCGGGCCTCGGCCCCGTCCGTTCCGCCCTCGCCCGCGGACCCCGTCCGGAAGGCTACACCGGCCCCGCCGTCCTCGGCTGGGCCACGCGGTCCTGCCTTCAGCCTCCGGACGGGCCTGCGGGCGTGAGCCGCTGTCCTGCCCTGGCCGCGAGCCTGGTGGACGTGGGCGGGGGGTCCGGAGGGAAAAGGTCTCACGAGTCCTGTCCTGGGCGGAGAGCTGCGGGGAGAGGCCGGCCCTGGCCCCGTCCCGACCGCGTGCCCCTGGTCCTCCTGGCGCCTCAGCGGCAGTTTGGGCCGGACTGCCCGCGGCCCCTCACTGCACCTGTGTTGTGAGTTTGAGCAGTGATCCTCTGGAAGACAGACCCATGTGTATGATGGCACTTTGCATATTTGAGCTATACTTCCCGTTACTGAAAGTCGAAATAATACGCGGAAGATGCACCAGCATAAACTGTTGGGATAGGTGCGTGAAATTAGGATTTTCAATCTTATTTTCAGATTTCCATTGACTTATACGTTGTTCAGGCAAACGTGTATCCCGCACGTGCACCTTCCAGTTTCTCTAGGAAGACCACACTCCGGCAGGAGCCTCCTGAGCCCCCCTGGTTCATATACCACCCCGCCGCGCCCCACCCCCTCCCGACCAGGGTGACCACTAGCCAGAATTCCTTGCGTTTCCTTACAGTTTTGCCGCCAAACATATGTATCATTAAACCGTACTTTGTTCCTTTGGGCTTGTTTTGGTACTTTATGTTAAGTAGAATCATGCATTTGTATTCTGCACTTTTTTCCTTCAACAGTTATGTTTTAGAGGTTGATGCATGTTAGTACCTGTAACTGGGGTTTGTTAATTTTCATTACTGTACCCTTCCCTTGGATGACTCATAACCACAGTGTATCAGTTCTGCTGTTTCTAGTATTTTGCTCTTCAGTACAACATGGCTATGCCTATTCTTACCGTATGGCCCGGTGCACGTACACAAGACTCGCTGTTTTAGAGTAGGCATTTTGAAGCTTAACGGCTGGCCCACAGAGGAAGCATGATTTCTTCCTTAACGAGGTGATACCAAAATGTCTTTCCACGTGGTCTTACCACTTACCCTGCCACTGGCAGGGTATTAACAGTTCCCATTACTCTACATCCTTGGCAACAGTTGATATATTTAATTATTGCCATTCTGGCATTTATGAGATGGTATTTCACTGTGGCTTTAGTTTTGCATTTCCCTGATAACGTTGAACATCTTTTCATGTGTTTACGGGTCATCTGAGTTTCCTCTTCTGCAAAACGTTCAGGTATTTTGCTTTTTTCTCTGTTAGGTTGTTTTATTTATTTATTGTTACTGATTTATAGGCGTTCTTTATGTATTGTGGATACTAGTCCTCTGGTGATATGTATTGGAAAATTACCCAGATTTGGCTTTTCTTTTTACTCTCTTTTCAGGATCTTTTGGTTAACTGAAGTTTGGAAGTTTAACATGGTTGACTATCACTCTTTTTCTTTTCTGGTTTGTGCTTTTTGTGTCTTATTTAAGAAATCTGTTTCTACTCTGAGGTCGTAAAGATTCTCTCCTGTATTAGCTCCTGAAAGTTTTAGAGTGTGCTTTTCACACCCCCCTTCTTTAATTCCACCTGGACTTGAAGCTGAGGACGTGTGGGGATCCAATTCATGTTTTCCCTTTATAACTTGTCGGTTGTCCCTGCTTCATTTTTTGGAGAGTCCATTCTTTCCACGGTGGTTTGAATGCTCACTCGTCACCTGTCAGGTTCTCTCATATGTGTTGGTCTCTTTCTAGCCTCTGTCTTCTTTCTCTACGTATTTAAGTAGTCCTTTGGAGCTTATAAAAGGGCCAAGCAGTCAGAACTGTGCCTGGCCACTGCTGTGTCGCTGGGGCCTAGAGTAGTATGAGGCAGGTAAGTGAGTTGAGTGAATAAACAGCCTTAGATTGTTCTGGTCAAACCTTTGCTGACACAGAAAATCTTAGGACAGATGATTTTCTGTGCTGTGTGCGTCACCCCTCCCAACAACGTGGCCACTACTTTGAGTCCTGTTACATAATTGGATAGCTCCATTTACTGGAATTTTTAAAAAATTGAGCCCAAATCTGTCTCCCTGAAACATTTACTCGCTTTTGGAGGTGATTGTTGCTGCAGTGCATAGAATTAAGCATCTGGCTTCTACTTGGATGGCAGATATTTCAGTATTTTCTCTGAGTGTTTTTCTTTCCTGGCCAAGCTTTTCATGTGTTTATGTCATTTGTCTTTACATGTGACCCTTCACTAAATGGACTGTGCAGTAGTTTGACCATGAACCGCTTAAATGTGTCACCCAGACTGGACACCGTATTCCACCTCCCTACCTGTGCAGAGTCAGGTAGAGAGGTTTGTTCCTTTATTGGGCCGCTAATGTCATTCAGCAAGTGTAACTGGGTGCTTAGTGTTTTGCGCTGCAGAAATGAATAAACTGTGGCCTTGCCTCCCAAGAACTCGTGGTCTAACGGAGCTGTAATCAGCCAGTTCTCAGGTACCCAAAGAAACGCGTGTGCGAGACAGGTGCTGTGGGAATGAGAGGCAAAAACAGCTCTTCTGTGGGGATCAGAAAAATTAAGAACGTGATGTTTAAGCTGGTCCTTGAGGGATCAGGTAGATGTAGGCAAGGAATAGCATCTAGCTGAGGAGTTCCTATAGGCAAAGGTAGGAGATGAGGCCATGAAAATAGTGGGGCTGAACACAGGGTGTATGAAAGGGAATCAGGAGAGTAAAGTGGCAAATGGCCGAACTTCAGTTTCTCAGCAGTATTGATATCTAAAAATGCGTGGTAGTAAGTGTGGACTTCATGATGTCAGACTTGTGAGGAGTGAAAGGGTCTGACGTGTGACCTGGAGTCTGGCAACAGTGTGAGGAGTGGGCTGAACGTGCAGGCACCTGACCAGGCGGGAACTTCCTGTGAGCCACGTGCAAGACCACGGCCCAAAGGAACTAGTGAAAACCACGCCCTCACCTTTTAGCCCCTTCCCCACATCACTGTAAGCCACGCTTTCCCCAACCCTTAATTCATTACATCTGTGGATGAAAAATGTACACTTCCATTGCTTAGCTCTTTTGTTCTGTAGTAAAATACACGTAACCTAAGGTTTACCGTTTTAACCATTTTAAGTTCGGTGGCATCAAGCACATTCACATTGCTGTGCAGCCATCACCACCAGCCAACCACAGAACTTTTTTTATCTTCCCCAGCTGACACTCTGTCCCCATTAAACAGTAACTCCCCATCCCTCCCCAGCCCCTGGCCCCACCATCTGCTTCCTGTCTTAGGAATCTGACTCCTCTAGGTACCTCGTATAAATGGAATCGTACAGTATTTGTCGTTTTCAGACTGGCTGATTTCATTTAGTCTAATGTCCTCAAAGTTCATCTGTATTGTAGTATGGGTCACAGTTCCCTTCCTTTTTAAGGCTGAATACTATTCCACTGTCTGTATAGACCATATTTCCTTTATCCATTCATCCATCAATGAACAGTTGGGTCACTTCCACCTTTTGGCTACTGTGAATATTGCTGCTGTGAACACGGGTGTACAAATATCTGTTTGGGTCTCTTTTCAGTTCTTTTGGGCTTATACCCAGAGGGGGAATTGCTGGCTCATATGGTATTTCTATATATTTTTAGTTTTATGAGGAACCACCATACTGTTTTCCATAGGGGCCATACTATTTTAAATTCCCACCAGCAGTACCCAAAGGTTCCAGTTTCTCCACATCCTGGCCAACACTTGTTATTTTCTGTTTTTTATACTGTTTTTGTTTTGATAATAGTTATCCTAATGGGTGTGAAGCAATATCTCATTGTGGTTTGATTTGCATTTCTCTAATGATTAATGATGTTGAATATCTTTTCACATGATTATTGACCATTTATTAATGGACAGTATCTCTTTTGGAGAACTGTCTATTCAAGTACTTGATCAATTTTTAAATTGGGGTTTTTCTTGTTTGTTTAGTTTTAGTTCTCTCTCTCTCTCTCTCTCTCTCTCATATATATATATATATATATATATATTTTTGTGTGTGTGTGTGTGTGTGTGTGTGTGTGTGTGTGTGTGTGTGGTACGCGGGCCTCTCACTGCTGTGGCCTCTCTCCCATTGCGGAGCACAGGCTCTGGACGTGCAGGCTCAGCAGCCACGGCTCACAGGCCCAGCCGCTCCGCGGCATGCGGGATCCTCCCAGACTGGGTCACGAACCTGTGTCCCCTGCATCAGCAGGCGGACTTTCAACCACTGCGCCACCAGGGAAGCCCCTAGTTCTCTATATATTTCATATGTTAATCCCTTATCAGATATGTGATTTGAAATATGTCTCCAATTCTGGAGTTGCCTCTTTACTCAGTTGATGGTGTCCTTTAATGCACAAAATTTTTAACTTTCATGAGGTCCAATTTCTCTCTTTTCTTTTGCTGCCTATTCCTTTGGTGTCATATGCAAAATACCACCAAATCCAATGCCATAGAGCTTTTGTCCTATGTTTTCTTCTACGAGTTTTGTAGTTTTAGCTCTTACATTTAAGTCTTTAATCCATTTTGAGTTGACTTTTGTATATGGGGTTAGGTAAGGGTCCAACTTCATTCTTTTGCATATGGATATCCAGTTTTCTCAGCTCCATTTATTGAAAAGATTGTCATTGCCCCATTGAATGGTCTTGACACCACTGCCAAAAGTTATTTGACCTTATATGTGAGGCTTTATTTCTTGGCTGTGTATTTTCTTCTGCTGCTCTTCATGTCTGTCTTTATGCCAGTACCGCACTGTTTTGGTTACTGTAGCTTTGCAGCAATTTTTGAAATCAGGTAGTGTGAGACCTCCAACTTTGTTCTTTATCAAGAAGTTTTCAGCTATTCAGGGCTCTTTTGAG